AGTTTTTTGGCTGTGTTATAGCAAATGTATTACTGTGTTAGTGTGCCTATGTTACACGTTTGGGCATGAGTCATCACAATGGAATGCAGGGCATCAACCAATAGGCATGCAGCTTTCCTCTATACTTCTTGCTGATTTGCTGTTGGGATTTAACTTGATTAACACCTGCACAGAGCATTTCCACCTGCACAGAGCATTTCTTGCTGATTGGCTGTTGGGATTTAACTTGATTAACACCTGCACAGGCATTTCCATACTGACAGTATGTCTTTATTCAAGTGTTTTGGTAGGTATTTCAAGCTTTTCTGCTCCAGCATTGGAATGTGGGGCATGAACGTTTTTTTATTTATTTTGAAAATCAACAGTTTGCATTATGCAATTAAAAATCCTAACCAATAAAGTAGGGAATAGCTATCCAACTGTTGTTTTAGTTGTATGTTACTTCATATTATAGTTATATCAATGTAAATCATTGTTTTCCCTTGTGTTTCTCATTCTTTCCCTGCCATGTCGCAAAATGTGGTGAACCCATCGCTGTATTTGCTCCAAAGCAAATATTGGCCTTTCTAGTTTGATAGTGTCTTGTCCTCGAATTCTGTCTGGAATTTATGGTGTTTTGGCTACTTTGCCTGAGGAAGTTTGTGACCGCTGATAACCACATTCTGTAGCACTGGAATAGAAAATAGAACTAGGACATTCCGTTCAATTCCGATTGTTACAAACAAATATGTTTCTTCATAGAGCTCGGGCTATACCTCAAAATACACTTATACATTCCGTATTGAGGGAATTGATATTTGGCTATACCGTATATGACGGGTATAGCTAGACTAGAAAATACAGTTTCATTCTCGAGCTCCCACGCCGCTTAGAGCAATCCGAATATCCCAATTGCCACATGTGCTGGTTTAGCTTAAGTTCACACCGAGCTGTTTATTCATTGTGTAAAGACAGCACTGTCTTTAGTTTCTTGCAATCAATAATATTTTGGCGACGCCTCAGGGGGGAGCCTAATGGTACAGTGTTGTGTGCAGTTTGCATGAATTCTAGGAATTCTCTAGGAATTTTTCCACAGGTTTGTAATGTGTTTTAGCATTAGCATTGACCAAACTCCGCGGCCTGACACATACCGGTACCAGAAAACACATGTTTTATGAAGCTTCAGCTTTTTGGTTTTGCAATCGAGAATATTTTTCCAGTGATTTTTGTTGTAATTGTTCGTTCGTCGTTTGCATCCACAGGACGTTTTCACAGCACATTATTGTGCCGTGACGCAAAATGGAATCCGTGGCTACCGCCCTCATCTTCTTTACTTTGTTAACCACTAGTTTGGGAAAAAACTACATTGATTACACGGGACAAAACTTAACATACATCCCGATAGACTCCATTCCACCAGGCACCCACACACTAAGGCTGTCAAATAACAAAATAACCCACCTCCCCTCTTTCAATACAACTCCTGAAATACGATATCTTTTTATCGACAAAAACAAGGTGAAACGCATATTACCACAAAAGTTCCAGGGACTTCGTGAACTAGTCCACCTTGATGTTGACAGAAATGACATCGTTTCACTTCGTCAGTTCGCTTTTTCTACACTCACGATGTTGTCCAATCTCATCCTTTCACATAACTACATTTCTCACATATCAGAGCAGGCTTTTCACGGTTTGGAAAGTCTGGACTTTCTCGAACTGTCAGGCAACCGCCTTTCTGTATTTCCGATGGAGGCCATCAAGCTAATCCTCAGTAAACATCTCTATTTCGTAGTGCTTAAAATAAACCACATCAATAAAATACCGAGAGACATAAAAACAGTACGTCCAGAGACTTCTTACGATTTGCGAGGAAACCCTTTGCGTTGTCCAGACGAATCAGACAGCAGTGCATATACAGATACGTTACTCGCCTATTATTACACGACTAACACGAGAAATAATAGATCTTATGTCAACGAAGCGTTCTTTGTCAAAGAACGCTTTAAATACTTCGGCATCCATCCCTCCATCATGAAGGTATTTGCAAGCGTTGACATTCACATCCCCCCCAAAAGTGTACCTGTGCGTTTTACCGACTCTTACTACTGGGACACTCCAACTGGACGCCGCTATCTCAACTCTTCCACTGACGCCATTTCCGTACAGGACTCTGGTGTATACACCTTTGTAGCAGACAAAGGGTACTCTAAAGTGAAAGTTGATATTGTGCTTTGTGTATTTACTAAGAAATCCATAGAGAAACGACAAAACCTGTCGACTAATGCAATGAACACAACAGGTAAAAACAAGCTAGACAACTGTCTCACTTTTATGAACAAGTCCTGTTGTTTACCCAGGTTTCTATCAGGGTCACTTGATCAGAAGTTCTGTGCTCTTGGCAACATTACTTCAGAAACCACAAATGCACGTGGGCCAAACGTTTATTTAATTGTCGCCACTACCGTTGCTACTTTCTTTTTGGCCCTTTTTCCCACTATCGCCTTGTGTTGGAGAAAACAGTCCAGTGCCAACAGAGACAACACTAACCCGTCCAGTGCAACATTACATGTGGGGGTGCAGGCTATGGTTGCCTGTGTTCCTGCCGTACCCAATATAGCAAACTATCGCATAAAGGAAGAATTAGATCCGAATTCTTTCCCGCTACGGCGTTTCCAATTGGTCGAAACTCCGTTGACAGTTACAGGGGAGGCACGATATCGTTCCCAGCGCACGGCCCGTATCACACAAGCAGACATCCATCAGTACAGTAACGATGATACACCCGGACATTCTGGAGACACAGAGGAGGGACAGGATCACCACTACGCCTCTGCGTCAGCTCCTGATCTACCTGTGTGTGACGGTGAGGACAACTCCAGTCCTGGGGCTACAGGCCCGGACCCGCTACAAGCAGTACCCGAGTCCGATGAGGAAGAAAGGCCGTACGGAATAGCAGCAGCAAATTCAGCATATGAAGACACAAACCTGTATCAGAATGAAATTGTTTCAGACAATCATAACCCAGCACCCCGTTACTGTGCTGTAAATGCGAACCATAACGAACCGACACCCTCTATGTCAAGAAATAGCTTGTACGGGCGGCATCCCGAAAACATGACCACGGCATGTGACAGTACCAGTACTATGGAGGACTTGGGCATCCTATATGGAAATTGTCCAGCAACGGACGAGTGACCACTGACCGTATCTTATTCTACTATAGGTCACCAGAAAACAAGTATCAAAACGCTACTACTTATAAACCTAAATGGAACCGGATAAGTTACTAGTAGATGGAAGAGAAGGAATGAAGTAACTCAAGTACGAGTAGTTCAAACAATGTTGGATTTGAAGTAGGAAGTTGTTGATCACGAGCATTCAATATGCCAGTTCTTTCACCATTGTAAGCAAGACTCGAGATAATACTAAGCTCTATACTAAAGCTTGTTGATGTAAAGCTACCACTTTTGTAAATATGTTGCATCGCCCTTTTTTCTCGCATATAGCAAGTTAAGAAATCAATGTGAACCTTGTGAGCTGTCCAATGTGATGTAGCCGACTTAATGTATATTTGCAACTACATGTACTGGCTAGTATTTATTTCTATGTGTAATTATTGATTGGTTTACACTAGACCGCTGACAGTGTTAACGTTGACGTTACCAGCTCTTGGTATAGTTCAACGACCAGGATCGGCCACTGAACATACCACGTTCAGTGACCAGGACCGTTGGTATGTTTCATTATGAACATGTACAATTCCGGGAAGGGCCCGGGGATAGAGCAGTGGTTTTCCCAGACAATAATCCTTACCCTCGGGTACTTCCTCGGACTCATCACTGTTGACATGTCCTCGGAAATGACACTGAGGTCCTCGTGATACCAACAAGGACACGCCAGGAATAATTCACAAGGTGCAGATACCTTGCCGTTGGGACAGTACAAATTTCTTTTCTCTAGCCCCCTTGACAACTCTTCAGGTTATGACGCCGTTTGGTGTGTACAGAACGACCATTTTGCCCAATAGGATAACGTACCGTGTTAAAGTCTGTATTCTAACACAAGTAAATGTTGTAATTGAAGGTCGCTTGATAGACAAACTGATAGCTATTCACTTAAAGAGCAGACATATACACGTTTGAGGGACACTAGCGCTGATTTGATATAACAGAACCATTGTGGTCCCAGAAAGGAGGACATGACATAATGCAATAGATTTGTGAAGTAAACTGTTCCATACATGGCGATCAAAAAGTCCTATTTATAGACTTTGCGAGTGTTTTATATTCTAAATAAGGCCAGAAAGTGATGTGTGTGAATGTACCACCATTCAAACACAGGCAAACACACCTGTCCTTGGTGCTGAACACCATCCACATACTGTCCTTGGTGCTGAACACTATCCACATACAGGCAAACATGCCTGTCCTTAGTTCTGAACACTATCCGCACACAGACGAACATCCCTGTCCTTGGTGCTGAACACACACACACACACAGGCATATCAGACACAGGCAACTATGCCTGTCCTTGGTGCTGAACACCATCCACACACGCAAATATGCCTGTCCATGGGGCTGAACACTACCAACACACAAACGTGCCTGTCCTTGGTGCTGAATACCATCCACACATAGGCAAACATGCCTGTCTTTGGTTCTTTGAATTAAAGATCGCATCAGTACATTATGTACTTTAATGTGATGTACTCATACACATGCAAATCATACAAATGCAAAATGGGCAATTATTTAGTGACATTAACAACTCAAAGAACAAGCAAGAATGTTTGACTAAAGTTGGCTATAACAACAATAGTTCCATGAACAAAGATTGTGTATGCAGTTGGGTGCTCCTCTACTGCTCCTCTATCTTCACATTTACAACAATCTTATCCAATCTTTTGTGTTTGCCAAAGTTGAAGCAAACATTACAATACAGGTCTCAGCTTACATTAGCTTGATATCTTTTTAGTCGCCCATGCATGAAAGTAATTCACTGCCAGCAGTGGTGAAAACTTTTAACATTCTGCACACAGCCATGCCACAGACCTTTGCACACTGGCAAATTAAACCAAAGCATGTTGTAGTAATATCACATAAGGCACTACACAAAGGGTAGAGAACATGCTGTACAAAACAGTCCTTATCTGCTAGAACAAGAACTACATCACATTGACTTGGGTATATATATATAGTCTGCAGCTATATACTGCACTGTACTGTTTGAATCTAGATCTAGTCTTTTTGGTAAGTCAAAGTCAAAATTAAGAAAAAGTTATTTTGTATGATTTGATAACCATAAGGCACTTTCTACTCATTGCACTTTGATTTGTTGTTAACAGTTTCCACATACATGTAATTTGTATTTTACAAAGGTCTCAGTTACAAAAAACAAACCCTGGCTTTTTCAAGGCATTTGAGTTTGTGGGAGGGGGCTTACATATCACTGTTAACAAAGAACATTGAATCTACAAACTGCTAGAAAAAAAACAACTACATGTGGTAAATAGTTCTTGAGCCAGAGTACTTTCACCAAGGATTTCAAACAGATACAAGTTAGAAACAAGTGTTGATAAGTAACTCAATGTACACAGTAGGTTCAACACTTAACTTAGAGAGTACCGGTATAACATAATAATAATCATACTGTATACTGATGATTGTCTTGGTCTAAAACAGCCCTATTAAGAGTACAAACATAATGAACAATGATTGCAGATTATAACATAGTCATTATAAAGTAGGTTACAAAAACAATCAAGTCAGCTTAGTTTTGTCATGAGATGCTTTACTTACATGCAATGACAATTCAATGACATCTCTAGACTGTATAATGCATTACAGGTAACTGTACATTAAGCATACAATATCACAAAATAATGTAATTAGAATTATAGCATACATGTTGGCAAATGCTGCATACAGAGACATTCATATAACATAAACATTCCTTCACAAGGTCACATTGTACATGGTCTGGCTACTCTGCACCTTATGTTTAGGGAAAAAACAAAACAATCATTGACTTCAAGGAAAAATAACAATGCTGATGTTGAGTCAGTACTTTCTTTTGATTTGAAAATAAAATAACGTGTCTCCATATAGAGTTCATGGTGTATATCTGCTAGGATTTGATTTTTGGATTTTTACAAAATTTAATGTCTTTCTTTCACCCTGTTTCTTACATAATTACAAAGTCTGAAAGAACAGTAGAAAATACTCACTGGTCCTGCTTACTCATCAAAAAAGTCTTCAGAGTACAAACAGAGTAGAACAGTGAAAAATACACCCCTTTTTGTGGAGTGGTACAGTCCTTATTTCAAAAGGAAAAGGCAGTGACTTGGATTCCTTATAAGGAGTGTAATTTGCATAGAGCCTAGAAGTACGGTCCGCTCTTATCCACAGTGACGGCTTTCTTCAGCCCGGCCTTACTGAAGCCACAGATGGAGTTGAGGAGAGCGCCCCGCTCCCCGGATGACGAAGGCATCGGTGGAGGGGGTCCAGCTGCAGGGGGTGGGGGAGGGGGTCCCCCCTGAGGGCCTGGGGGTGGAGGTGGAGCAGCTGTGAACAGACACAGGGGGACAGGGGTCATGCAGAGTCAATGTCAAACTTTTTGCACAACAATTGTAACAGGTAAAATGTGTGGCAAGTTCTTGAGCAGTACTGAATATCGAGACTAATATCTACACCATTGCTTATAACAATGCTAAGGAGTTCAATTATATATATATACACTATGCCATTCTATCTATGAAATACATGTACAATATATATGAAACATGGATTGCATGATAGTACACAAGAAAAAGTTAACATCAGTGATATGAAATCTTTTGAGAAAAGCGGTAGAAAGCATTCAACTTGAATAGCAGGTTGGTGGAAAGTGCAGTACAGGCTCATCATGGGATGGAAAACCTGTCCAACCTTGGTCACCATCACGGCCGACTGCACTTTCCACCAACCCTTTCTGTAACCGAAAATCCTCACAGTGTCTCAAAACTAGGCAAATGCCAAACCATTCATACATGTATGTGTACCAACTTGCAATAACTGTAAAGAAAAGAATGCCAGCAAGAAGGAAATTGTTATTAATAGATAAATAGATAAATGTATATTTCTACAAGCACTGAACATGATATGCAGACTTTGTATGTGATTCATTTCAGGGGTGATGTACAACACTTCATACACAACACAACACAGCACAACTACACCACACACACAACAGTCACAGGCAACAACTCCAGAGTTAGCGCAGTGCATGCGGAAGCACCTCAGCTGAACATACTGCGTCTGCACCAATGTATTAAGCATAGCACTTTGGCAGAACGTCTCATTTAGGGTTGTACTCATGTACCGTGACTGTATGTAATGAATTCTGTCTATAGTTTTCAAATATTGTGTTGGAGAAGAAATCATCTGCAACAGGCAAAATTCTGGTGCAGCATTGACTAAACAACCAGCAAAAAACGCGAAAAATCTGGGTTTCGCGCAGGCAGAGAATGTTCTACTGACGTGCTCATGCGGCACACATCCAGACAAGCAGCGTTAGTCACAGACACCAGCGAGATCTAACGGTGATCAAACCTACAGGAGATCCAGGATCCTCCTGAGATCCTCATGCTTTCTGATCATGATCTGCAGCTGGGGGATTAAACAAGTAATTACACGTATCACTTTTCACTTGAATCAGGCAAGGTAAGTAGATTGGTAACACACATGGGGGAGGGGGGCATGCATGGGGGAAATCATGTAATGCAATCAGCAGGATGACAGTAAATGGTATCAGTGTAAGTACATCATAATACCATGCTTTGTGTACAAGAAAATGCTGTGACATCCATGTATGACTGTGTATAGCACATGTTTTTCCATTGCTTTGTTAGCAGCTGCACTGTCAAACGGCATCAAACACACAGCATCAAAGTTTACTCCAAATCATTTGCATGTACATGTATAGGTTAGGACAGGCTGCTTGTTGTAATTACGTGCCATACAATACTTATATGTAAGGATATATGATACTGTAACAACAAGAGACAGATTGTACATATATATAGTAAAGGTTATCTTCTAATACGATTTCCTGGTCTTAAGTGGACATACATAATACATGTTGATTGTACTCTTATTACCTTGTACAAGAGCGACAGTCAAGACAGTAGTGTAGTTGTACAGATTACTCTGGACTTTGCATGTCTGTGTACTGTAAATTCATGGTGGTTCTATTTCCCAAATGTTTTAAACATTTTGAAACATTCAGCTGTTGCAGCCAAACATCAGCTGACGTTCCCCCCAACCTACTCCTAACCATGGTTTGGAGAGTTCAGCAGTGTTCAGGAGGCCATGTTTGGCTATGTGTGACAGGGGCTTAACCTTCCTGAGGAGACGACCGTGACAGTTTTGCTGGAAATGAGGAGCACTCACCTGGCGCAGGTGGAGGAACAGGTGACGGTGCACCTGAAGATGTGGGACTGGTGGTACTGGAACCAACTGCGAGGGAACAAGAAATGATTTTTACAAAATCTGGCCGGGGGCCAAAATGAGAATAGCTAGTTGGGTGTCGTGAAAGTGATAATGATGTGTGACTTAAAGAATTGGTCATCTTGTGACTTGAATTGGACTGATGCTTATGCTAGAGGGGAAATGGGGGAAATGTTAATGTTGCAATAAGGTCAGGTTAAAACAGGAGTGCTAGATTGGCCTGATGACACACAGAACAGGTATAACAATAAGCCTGAGTTCAAAAACCAGCCTAGTATGTTGACTTTGTAGCTCCTATGGCAACATTTGAGGCTATCACAGGATGTCTAGGACTGTATTTTCCCTGTCACTTCTAAGAACCAAGAAAGCCAATAGGTTTTACTAACATCAAACCCCTGACTCTTCCTTAAACCATGACTCTTACCCCCATTGGTAGCTGGTAGGTGGTTGGTGTTGTGGTCCTCCTCCTGTCCTGTAGGCTGCTGGGACAGACGCTGTGGGGAAAAGGCAGAGGATCATTTGGTTGTCATAAGCACTGGTGGATAGAAAAACATTTGAATGGCATTTGAATGTTTGTATGAAATGTATACGAGAACTCTGACTGCAAGCTCAGCTTATCCTCTTAACTTTTTTTTTTCAAGATGAAAGGCACAATTAATGGCACTAACCTTTCTGGCTGATTTTTTCCTTTTCTTCTTCTCTTCATCAGACATGTGGTGAGCCTTGGCTTTAGATTGTCTCCTCACCTGGTTAAACTAGGACAGAAACAAACAAATAACACACATGAAAAACATGATTTGAATACACAACACAATATCTCCACACATAAAAATCGACTGTGTTGTACTCAGTGACACCTGTGTTGTTCTAGTCAGCCTGAAATTTTTCTGTCATCTCAATTTTGTTTAACATAACTACATCATGTGAAGCATGGATCCCAGGTAGGTCCAGGGGCATGACTTGACCATCTGAAATGCTTTATGAGGAGCAAATTTTTCTGGTAGACTATTATGCATAGTTTAATGACATGCCTTTCTTATATATATTAAAATACAGTAAGCTATGGATTGTACTCACCACTCCCTGGTCAAGTTTCAGTCTTTTCTCTGTCGCCTCCTTTGCTGACTTCAGGGCTTCTTTTAACTTACTGGGGATCTAAGGATATAAAACAAACATAGGTTTAACTGACAAAACAAACAATTTATCAGGGAAAGGAGAATATTTGTTTACCTGTATATCTGTATAAATAGCTTCTCTGTCAGTACATACCTTCAACTGAGGTTTATCTGGTAGAACCACAGGCACATTGCTGAACAGCCTGAAATGAGAATGGAGCAATGTTGATGGCAAACCACACACACAGAGGACCTTCATAACTTTTCATCAAGCAAATTATGAAAAGCTTTAGATTGAAACACTAGCATCCAGTTTTAATGCATCAAAGGTACAATCTCCTTAAGTAACCTTAACACTACATCTGTTGCACAGTATAGAATACTGATTCTCCTGATATGTGGTTTGAATGAATCTGTACTTACGGACTAGCCAGGAGGTCTGATACAGAAGGTAGAGACTTTACAGCGTCCACAGTGAGAATGGACTCCAGGAACGTTCCTGAAACATACCAACAGCAGGGTTTTGTTGGCTGGCAGAGAAGTATGTTAACTTTGTATTTTGTATCAAAGTAACAATTTTAATGTAAGAAGCGTTTTTAGTTTAACAACTAGACTTTATAAGTGTATGGTGGTAAGAGCAATGGCAACAACAATCAATAGTAACAACAGCATAAAAACACTCATTCATTCATATAGCTAAGACTTACTGAGTTCTGCAGGACAGTCCAAAGGCAGCATCTCCAGTGTTGCCGTCTGTAGCTGGTCTCCAAACGCCATCTCATACACCAGGTGGCCGAAACTGTACACATCTACCTGCTCCATGGTCTACAACACATCACAGACAACACTCAGTACCGTGCATGTATGAATCACATCTGAATGCACGGTGCCTACGCAAAACCTGTTGGTCAACACTGCATTGGAATCTTTTTGGCACTTAAAAACTATATATGGGAAATTATCTTTAGATATGCAAACACTTGTTAAGAACAATGATTTAGATATGCGACATAACCATAGCCAGTGTACCTGTACTTTCCTGAGCTGTGTCAGGAAGTATCTGTAGTAGGGAGGCAGACCCAGGACGCTGTTCTCCAGGTCCAGCAGGCGGCAGCAGTTCTCCTCCAACATCACATTCCCCGCATGGAGCTGACCATAGAACCAGCCCTTGTCGTGGAGGAACTTTAAGGCCTACAAAAAACAAACAGACAAATCAAGTCTCAGACAAGAGCTCTCCTTTCATGCAATTTGACCAACAGCCATTAAGAAGGGATTAATCCAATAACTAGAAAGGTAACATTTGCATATATATATATATATATAATGTTTACATTGACATGGTCTAGCCAAACATACTGCTCTGTGTATTCTTATCCAAACACATCTATGTGTATGGTCACCAGCCCCTCCAACTCTGTCCTGCCACTTGCTACATAATGTATTCAAACACCACAGGGTGTCAGCTGTAGCAGGCTGGAATATGCCCCCTGATAAAATATACCCGGGTACATTCTGGCCAGGGGTATATTCTGGACTGCTACACTGGTACTGTGTCCCATGATGAACCAGAAACTCAGCTCACCTCTAGTACTTGTCTTCCACAGGTTCTTATTGCAGGGAGTGGGAGGGGGGCATACATCTTTGGCTTGCAGTATTTCTTCAGAAAATGCACTTTATTTGGTTTTGTCTGTGGAGAGATGTAAAAAAAAAAATTATGAATACATCATCATGGCATACCGTATATGAAAACAAATCCCGGGATGAAGGCCTGGCAAACCCTCATCTCGCATTAGCCACACTCCAGGAAAATTTATGGAACACTAATGGTGATCCTAATAAACCAATCAAACACAATGAACATAAAAGTGGGCAATGATTGCTGTCTATTACATATGGACTGCTTCAAGAATGATCTAGAATTCAATTTTTCCTAAAAGATGTGTGTGAGATGCCTGTTGAAACTTTTATTGGTAAAATCTATTTGTAATTTACATTTTCTAATAAAAAAAAACAACATGTAGAGAAGGCCTGAATCTTACTTTACAGATGGCATCCCTGAGTGTCCCTGGTTGGTAGAAGCTGCGGATGGCAAGGCCTCCGTTCTCCATGGACGTAGCGAACACAACGGGATAAACAAACGGGTGCTACAGGGACAGAAACAGTTGAGTACAGAGACCTTAGAAAGTAATGTTCTGGTGGAGGCTTAACTAGATCAATGATCATTATCAAATTGAAAGCAGTGATAGCATTTGCCAAGTAAGCTTGTCTACATTTGTATGAGTGGAAGATAATTTGATAAATATCCCTTGAGGTAAATTTGTCACAGTTCTACTTGATTGAGAAGTTTGATTTATTCCAAGAGGAAGCAAAGGCAAAGATTCAGAGTATACACTTACTTGTATTGTTGGAAGTAATTTCATGATTGGCACAAGATCTTTATCATCTATTGTCTTGTCTGGACCAAAGTCAGTCTGAGGAGGGAGGCAGAAACAATAGTTAAGTAAACAACTGCCACCTTGCAGAATAACACAGAACTGCAGCGATAAAGTACCACAAAAAAGTGTGACTGTACTCACCCAAGATAGGACTAGTTTTTCCTTTGGCTGATCTTTGGGTTTGATGAGAAAGTAGGTTTTTCTAAATCTCCAGCCTATAGAAAAAAACAGTCAAGTTGGACGGTGACATATGGCCAGCTGCCCAGTGTATGCCAGAATTTAAGCGTAAGCTTCAAGCGCCAAACCTCTGTATGTAAATGAACCCAACACACTTATTGAGAAGAGAAGGAGTGGACAGGTGTGGTTGGCTATGAACGCAAGCTGTAGCGAAGCTGCATTGCAAAATAAGATACTTGAAAAAGCATCATGCTTCACCTCAGTTGAGATGACAAAACAACAACATAATGAGAAAAGATTGGACTTGTTTGGAAGAAAACTTACCGACATCTCGTAGTGGTTCTATGACTTCCCAATGAGGTTCTGATCTGAAGAACATGGACACATGTTGGAGGGCAGCCTCTGTGGAGAGAAACAATAAAACATGTTGAAAAACGAATCCCAAGAACGCTCCAGGTAGTTGGTAGTAATGTGTGTTTCTGTGTAAGTGTGCGTGACGATATACATGTCTATAGTTAGTACCTTGTGTGTTCATACTCTCCGGGTAGTTGGTAGGATCCAGGAACTTCCTGACGATGAGTGACAGAGACAGTAGTTGGTGTGAGGTGATGTTGTTCAGGAACACCTGCAGCCCCTGCTGCCGCTCAGCGATGAACTCCCGCTCCATGTTACCAAATATCTTCTTAGGAGGCAAGTTCAGATCCAGCCCTCCCATCTATGGAAAGAAAAAAACCATTTTATTATCTTAGTCTTCACAACAGGAAAACATATTTTGTCTGTTTAAACTGTGAACAAGTTTATTAACTCACCTGCAATGCAGTGTTCAAGGCAGCAAAATCACTGTATCTTCTGTTAATCTGCAGAAACAAATGATAATACCTTAGCTTGGCCATATACATTGTAGATGTATAGTAAAAAATTGGAATAATATTTTGTGCCCATCTCCAAATCCTATAAATATTCTTAAGTCAGAAATATAATATTGTACATTATATGCACATGTCAACAGTACAGTATACTCAGTTTCAGGCCATTTCTTCAATTATGATTATTCATATATATATATAGACATTTCTTGCAAGGAAAGGTAATTAATTCTATATCAATATCAGTTAGCCCAATGACAAAGACCTTGTCTAAACTTTTGGTTGTGCAAACATTATGTAGCAAACTTCAGACTTTACATTGTCAACATAAACTTTGACACTTTGTAGCAATGCCCCACCCCTACAGTACACACTGTGGTACAGAACGTTTTTGTGTTAGCCATTTGGCTTCCAATTACAGTCTACTTACAGATTTAGGCAGCAGGGAGAAGGTTAAAGCAGGGCTGCACTTTAGATACCAATGATTTAAATGATAATGACAACATTTCAATCAATACAATTGAATAGGTGGCTTTCAGTGCAATGTGACCTAGTGTTGTACAATCTTTACCACATGCCACACTCGTGATATGTATGTCTAAGTGCACAGCTTTCATGGCAAGGCTATGTTACCTTGTGTCTGATACCAAATAAGGGCAAACAACACCAGAAGATAGAGAGGTGTCAAGTACACCATGCTGACCTGCCAGCTGTTTTCTGCCAGGGGTCCTCGCTGCACTCTGATCACGTAGTCCTACAGTGGGAAACAACACATATGCAGTTGGTAACTTGGTACACAAATTTCAACAGTGTCAAGGTCATAGGACATTATATCACCAATGGCGAAATACAGTAGCAGTTGTCAAGACTCAAGCCATTTCCTTGACTAGTTATCAAATTTAGAGCACACATACAAGTAACTTATAATAAAAGTATAGTATCTAGTATGTTACTTGTATCTCACAATTTCAGCAATCACTGAATCAATTTTGAATGAGATTACCCGGCCTCAACTTTTGCAAAATCAATTTTTGATGGTGATTTAAAATGACAATTTGGCTTGCTTGCCAGAACAAAAAGGGTTTAGAAAGAGAGTATTGTGGGTCTGTCTCCTGAATATTTGGAAAGGCCAATAATCCTTTGAAATCAGTTACATTTATTGAAATCTCTTCTGATGTACCCTAGGTCAGTTGACCTATATATGAGAGGGACATATAGGACAGGGTTGCCTAGAGCTAGCCTAGTTACAAAGGAATCTACTCAGCTCTGGGAGCCAAAATAGCAGAACTAGGCAAGCCCCAAGTTGGATACATGTCCTCGCTAAATCTACCCCTTTTTGTCATGGCAGAGGACCAGTGATTTTTGTGTGAAGGAAAAGTGAACCTGTCTGTTAGCACCTGATGGTCCAACCCCAGGAAGTCTAGAACCCTGACTACATTCACCTGTAGGAGGGACACAAACACTGGTGGAACTAAAGAAAACATGCAATCTATAGGCTCACATACTGTTAACTCCAAACAATTTTCTTGAAGTATACAATACTTTTCAGACACTTGCTTTAATTTTTAAATAAGATTTGAAGAAAATGCATGTAACATTACTTGATTTTTGTTACATGGTCTTTTGTCTGTTCTCAATGACTTCTAGGAAATAATCCTACTAATGCCTTTTCTACACAACAATCCCTCTGAGCTCTTTGGAAAATTTGTTGACCCTTTTTCAGTGCTGTAAGGAATGTCACACACACCTAAAGATAGCTCCATATGCAACGTAATATCCACCCTCAACTGGTCCCAGCTCCCTGGAATCTTAATTAGTTTATAACCTGTATTTATGAAACACATTTTAGCAGCTTTTATAGACCATTGTAACTGGTACTCAATCCAAGTAAACACTGTTTTGCATAAGAAGCTGTGAAAATTGTGTGGAGGAAGAAGACTAACGACAGATTAGTACGACTATGTTTAGCAATGATTTTAAACAACAGAACATGCCATTCAGAGAAATGGTGTAAAAACACCTGTACTGAATGGCTATGCCACTTGGCATGTCTGTATTATGTATTCTAAGTCTACCTGACACTTGAAGAATGAATTATAAGTGTCAAACAGTATGTCATTTGTGTAAAGCTTATTTTCTCAATAACAAATGTAAGAGCACAATAGAACTTCTTTGTCATTTCTTGTCCTCCATAATTTGTCCGTCAGCACAAAGTGTTGCCATTTGGGTTTTCAGCGAGTAGCGAAGTTTATTTACAGTGTTAATTCCTGGTCTGTCAAGTGAAAAAATGTCAACACCAGTCACGCAAAATTTGACCGCTTGCTGAACTCCAAGCAGATGTTGTGGGTTAGCTTAACACATTAGCTCCTTAATTAACAACTGGTTACCTTATGGTAAAGTACACAGCAAATTTACCCACATAACATCTGCTTGGAGTAACCTGTTGCAGGTTTCACGTTTGTTGACATGCGACGTTTTCAGCTAGCGGATCGGCCAAAAACCGTCCAAGTTGGCACCACCAGGACATGCCTAACTCCGCTCCTACGCGTCTCTGCACAGTGAAATTTGGCAGAAAGGATCTGTGGTACGTACCGTGTGTCCCTGCACGTTCTGGGCGGCCTCGATGGTACAGGAAAGACGGGAAGTGTCGTCTAACGTCACCTTCTGCGCCTTCTTCTTCTCGAAGAGCGCCATGTTGGATCACCTGTCACGCCGAGGGGGAGGGGCGAAAATCTCGCGTGAGTTCGGACGGAGCTCGCTCTAGCACGAAGTCGACGTTGGGGTTTTCCTGAGTCAAGCAGTTGTCAGTTATATATAACGGCCAGGCGTCCGAAAACTGCAAGAGGAAATAGCCGAGCTCCCGTTTCGTGCGGATGCAACGCAATCTGCCTGTCATGTGACTCTGCGTGTCTCTTGAAAACATTGCGGAAGAGACGGCTAGCGGATTAGTATAAAACTACAGAAACAATTTGCGTAGTTAGTCTTAGTGTCAGATCTGATGTTTGACATATCATATAAAGGTTGCAAATGGTATCAGTACAATTGCCTTACGCCTTGTGTGTATTGCAAAATCATCGTCTGAAAACAATTATGAAAACGTCAACTAATCTACGGGAAGTAGAGTAGCTTGCATATAGTACTACAGCACATCATAATATATAGAAAGGGGGCGTGGCATTCCTAACCCGGAAGTAAACAGACAGTCACAACTCGAGGGTATCAGCTGATTGAAAAGGTCAGTGTATATTTGCGCAGCAGGGATCAATCGTGCCCCGTGGCAGGATTCGGAAGTTTGACACATCGATCAGGAAGGTTGGTGTGTGCGCTCACGATTGTTTCTCCGTTTGTCTCCATCAAAATCAACCAGCGTTTGTGCGATCCCTTTGTGTAAGTTAATAGATTAGTGCTTGTTTTTTCAAACCTTATCGTTTAGCGCTAGCGTAGAAAATCAGAGGGTCTGCTTTAGTACCGTGTACCGTAACACCACCTGTCAGTGGGAGGTGCCCGTGACCTACTTTACTATACTGTAGGGCAGGATGTCACATGACGGGGTGATTGTTTTGTTGTAAATCAAAGTTCAAATGATCTAAAAGATAAGAAGTTCCAAAATAACGAGTTGTAATTAATGTGTAAGTTTCTTCATACATGTACAGTTTATGTGCTGGCAGCATGCATACAGCATGCATCAGGTCCCCCTATCTCAATTAAACATAATTTAACTCCTGTTGACAGTCATTTGTAGATGTAGTTACTGTAGAAACAGAAGGGCCAGCAAGCACATTAAATGGATCTGTCATTCAGCAACATGTTAGCAGCTACCATTACAGGCTACTAGTATTTTTTGGTAATTCCTTCCATTCATTGATTGAGCTGCTTGAACTTTATCTATTCAGATTATCAGACTAGATAACTCTGCATGGAACAAGTGTCTTGTCATAAAAACATATCTATGAATCAATACCATACCTGTTAATAAGGATGACTTCCTCTCCACAGCTGACACATTGCTGTTTCAGTTCTGCCTGTCCGTATTACGATGAGCGTGACGTCCCGACTTCCAGAGTTTCTGGAGAAATGCGAGCGCGAGCGGGACAGGGCTGTGGACTTCTGGCTGCAACACTCACATGACACCGAGCACGGGTGAGCTACACAGGCTGATGTCATGTTTGTACAGAAAGTCAATAGATAGATATCAAATTAGCCTGGATACCAGACCCCAGGGTGATGCAATACTCCCTTTTCTTCCGCCTCAGTGGTTTCTATGTGTGCCTGGACAGAGATGGGAAAGTTTACGACGACACCAAATACTGCTGGCTACAAGGCAGGCAGGTGAGAGCATCACCATTTTTTTTAAAACACAAAATTTAATACAATGTAATAAATGTAATAAATGATGACCTATGATTTAAAATATGGCTGATAAGATACAGGCTGTCAGTACTCTCCAAGCAGAGGTTTAGGTTTTGTTTTCATCGCTCTGAAATGTTTTTTTTTTGGTAGGAAGAGTTTCACAGGTGTTTTTCTAATTATACCATTTCAGGTGTGGATGTACTGCAGGCTGTACAATGAAGTTGAGAAGTATCACAGACAAGATGTGTTACAAGCTGCTATAGCAGGTGAGTAATGCCTGCACCCCCATCATAGAAATTAACTGGTCCAAATATCATACCACACCATTAGGGTCTGGATCATCACACTTTGATAAAGGGATGATGATACCATGTGTTGTCCCTCCAGGAGGGGAGTTCCTGATGAAGCATGTGAAGGATCCTGACACCATGAAGTGCAGTTTTGCTGTGACGCGGGACGGCCGGACCGTCAAGGTGCAGCGGCAGCCGTTCTCAGAGGTGTTCTACTTCCTGGGGTTGTCAGAACTCCACCGAGCAACGGGGGAAGCAAAGTACAGGGTAGAGTTCCAATTATATCAAATATTGACAGCGTGTGGATGGGTAAGATTGACAGGCAGGATGACAGGAGGTCTAAAGGGTAGACACAGGAAATGGGGTGCCAGAATCTGGCCGGGAGCTAGCAGGAATTAGTGGTTGACATGGGGGAATTCAGGAACCCAGAGGATTGCATGAGTTTCTGTCCTAATCCCCAACAAAGTATGTCATACAATGTCCTCAGTTGTTCCAATAAATTTGCAAAAACCCAGGTTTCTCCCAAGAAGTCTAAAATGTCTGATGTCTTGTTCTCTATACAAAAGGACGAGGCCTTAAGGATGATGGACCAGCTGGTTCACTGGATGACCGTTGACGATTCGGGCCTGGGACGACCCAAGTGGCCTGGTGCACCAGCTACGGATAGCATGGCGGTACCCATGATGCTCATGTGCATGATTGACCAGCTGGAGACCATGGACCCCACGCTGGCGGACAAGTATGCCGAACTAGCAAAGTGGTGTGTTCAAAGGCTGCTCCTGCATATACAGGTGATCTTTGTCTGTGCTGAAGTCTTATAGTGTCAATGATCTGAAACATGTCTGCAAATTGCAGTTGCAGATTTGTACCTTTTTCTGAAGTTTAAAAAGAACTAGAGTTCCACGATCTCATACCTTCGCCAAATGATGTTAGCCTTTATGACTAAGAAATAATAGATTAATCCCCCTGATTGTGCAAATAGGATCCTATATTGCATCAATTATATCTGCTGATCATATTCTATACCAGAAGACAGTCTTATCTTATC